AGTTCACATCAATTGGTCCTACTAATGGGGATGGGAGTAGTGGAATGGGGAGATTTCCAATGCTTCCTCCCAAACTGCCTTTTCGTGTTCCACTACTTTGCCCACCAGAAAGAGTGAAAAGATGCGCCAAAATGTGGTTTTCAAATTTCGTTGAAGTTGAAGCACGTGTTGGCAGCATATGCAAGAATTATCGATTTTAAACAATTGAAGTCATTTGGCTGGAGTTTCGTTGAAAAGTTGGTGATCGAATAGAGCAAAATGAATGCTACAAATCCTACGACTACTGCCACTAATGCCGCTGTTGAAGCTGTTGATGCTGCTGATGGTGTTGCTGCTCAAGGTGATGCTTCGGCTATTGGGTGTGGAGGAGATGTGAAAGCAGTGAAGAAGGTGGTGCGCTTCAACGACGTGGTTAAAGTCTTCTACTTCGAGAAGTTCTCCACTTCCAAGTGCTTGATGTTGATCCAGGAGAAATACGCTAATTTGCTTGGAGACGCTGACGACAGACGTATCTGTCGAGCCGCTCGCCTCACCGGCTGCACAGCACGTCTCAATACCTTCGCGGCAAGACGCAATAAACATGGTGAATTGTGCTATGTGCTGACTGTGGAAGGGAGACGGGACTCGGACGTGGAGAGATTCAAGAGACTAATACGCGACAAGTTTCCCGACATCCTCTTCACTCGTGCTTGAGAGTGTGCCCACAACATGTCAGCAACTCCGATATCCTCTACATAAAACTGATTGTCAATTCCCCACTGATTCCGCCGTGTCCACTGATTCCAATGATTCCACTTCTTCCTCTTCTTCCTACCCATTGGCACTGCACTAAATGCAGCGGCTCGCGCAGACAGATATTACGCAAGAGCAGAAGTGTAGATTGAACTTAGTCAACGTCAACGTCAACGGCCCATTCATCCAACCACAATCTGCGAATGCGAATGCGAATGCGAATCCGCATATGCATCACTCAACTAGTGAATAGTAAGTACTCCTCGTTCTTCGTGCCCTCTCCCCCATGAGTGCAGAGACGCCGAGGGGAATTGGCCAGACTACAAGTGTTCCAGCTCTGTTGAAGGCCGATAAGGTGGAGTAAGAGAAGGAGGGAGTGTGGGAGAGAGTGTGCGAGAGAGGGAGAGAGGGAGGGAGACGACGTGAGATGGAGAGTGATATTCGAATCACGAAATATTGAGTTGAACCTGCTCTGTCACTGCACCACATGCTGCTAAACTTGCCTTGCTGCTACTGCTACTGCTACTGCTCCCACCTCCTGCAACCCCAAATCTCAATTGTCTGATATCAATATTTCCCCCTCCCCCTTGTCTGATATATATATTTATGAATAATACCGATCCTAGTCTATCTGCCTGCTCCTCCTCTTTGCCCTTCCCTTCCCTTCCCTCCCCTTCCACCTCCACCTCCTATACCTCAATTCACTTAGCATTTGTAGAGAAGTTGGTGAGTTTAGCTTGAGGTGGGCATTTTCGCTAATCTATATGGGTAACAGTAACGAGTTTTCAGGTGCTTGGTGGAATTGTGCAATTCATATTTGAAAATTTGTTGAGGATGCATAGTTGGATGCTGTAAGGCAAAAGAAAGAGTAATGATGTTGGCTTCGAGTTGGTGTGGGAATCAGCCTAGGTCAGTTAGTCAGCCAATCAGCCTGTCAAGACGGAGAAGATGCAGAGAAGTCATTAATTGATCTGGTGTGAGAGGGGAATGAGAGTCATTTTCGTGGCTTCCACCTTTCATCTCCACATCAAGAATCTGAAAGGCAAGATTGCGTCGAGTTCTTGAGTGACCTAGTTTTGCGTTGATGCCAGTTAAAGTGTTATCTGAATTTTCAAGCATCTTAGTTGAATTAATAAATTCCAATCTGTATTGTCATAACATGGGTTTGTGACAGAAATTGATCGCAGGACAGTAGCTAAGTTCTTACGAATTTCCTCTACGTCTCTGATATATATTCGATTTCTCAAGATATTGTGAGAATGGTTTTGTTCTGGGTACTGGCGGCGGCTGCTGATTCCTTGTTGGGTGAGAGGCCCATGCACCCATGAGTGATCGAGGCTGTTGATGTGCGCAATGGATTGCTTGGTTGGACCACGTTAGCGTTGTGCTCTCCAAAGGCCTTACCGGCTTCACAGGGAATATACAAACGGAGGCACTAAGAAAGATAAATAGATAAGAATTAAAATAATCGGTAGGCTAATATTTTGCAAATAGCTAGAAAAGTATCACCAGATTAAAATCATCCAAAATAAGGAGAACGATTAAATGTTAAGGATTAAACGGAAGCAATGCTAACTCACAAAATACCCTAAATAAAATAGTGATTCACGCAAAAACACAGAATGCTAAAGATTAAATTCATAGATTAAACATATAAGTATTGGCGATAAAAGAATATTTCTCAAACTCCGGCAGACTGTTGAAAGAATGAGTAATACAATAAAAAATAAATGTCTAGCATGAAGGCTGCATAATAAACAAAATATTAATAAAAATACAGTAAAATTTTCTAAAATAATAAAGCAATTTAAAATTCAATTATTAACTAGAATGAATGTTAATAAAATTCCAAAAAATAATAAAGAATTGTGATTGGTTAACAAATGCACATCTTGCATTTAGCTAATCAAGATAACGTTAATATGAACATAAAACTTAATCCATTAATTAGTTAATCAAGAAATTTGTATCGGTTAGCACTTATCGTAATTTTACTGCTGCATAATAAATCGGTTTTCAATAAAACCACAATTTGTTGGTTTACATAACCAATCAGTAAATGGCAACAAATTACAAAATTATATACAAATACCCATATATAACCCACAAGATGTCAATATCAAACAATTATAAAACCAAATTAAACTAAGAGGAAATAAACCAAACCTTGGTATGAAACCAAAACATAAAATAGTATAAATCAGCAAATTATATTCCAGTTACAACAAACACCGAAGATAAACAATAAATCACTTATTAAGTGAATAAAGTGTGGTGTCTCCTACACAAAAAATCAGGTAATTATGGTTTACCCAAAAAGCACTAAAATACTCAAGACGCAACAAATTTATCAGCAAGACAACAAAAATAGAGAATAGAAGAGGCAAATGAAGAAATTCAAATCCATGTATAAACGACGTGTAGCAAAAGTAATAAATAATGACCAATAGAAGAGGATAATATACTTGAGCGAGCAAAAAACCTCATATGAATGAACTAATAGTCACTCTGCAAGCGAAACATAGAATGCGCCAGCACCTCATCAAATCTAAATTACTATTCATTCACGCAACATTATAGTAGAACTAAATATCATAGTCTTATCGGAACTAAGGATATCTGTTCATTCTCTTCATATTGATATATGACCACATTAAATCAATGGCACTAGTCCGTTAAAAATATAAATAAAATCCTTCAATAATATACGTCTATTTGATGATTCATACAAATATCAAAACAAACCAAAGTAATAAAAATAGAAATATTAATAACCCAAATATCTTTAATAAATAAGCCAATAAACGGCTTAACGATATGTGCTAGAGTTAAGTAAGCTTATCAGCGTTTACTTCCAACTCAATACATGGTATTATTAAAAACAAATAGATATTAAAGAAAGTCAAAGAAATAATTAATTGTATTTTGAGCCAAAAAAATAAAATGTAAAATGAAGTATAAATGATAGAATTAATATATTTATATTTATAGCAAGAAAAGTTTCATTCGGGTAAAAGTAGTTCAAAATAAGAACTGGGCGAAATTGGTTGAGAAGGGTGTCAATGTCATTTCAGGTTCACCAGGTTGGATTATAAAGCGTAAGGGAGATGAAAATTAATAAAAAAGCTTACTAAAGTCTTGTGTTTGTTTAACTCGTCTTAAAATTGACGGAACTGTCGAAGTTTTGTGGTGTACCTATGTCCAGTAATACTCTCCTTCGTGTCATTCTAAGAGTTGCAAAAGGCGTCTACTTCTCCCCAAGTATATAACTGCCATTTACTGTTTACTTATTTATACCATTAGACGAATACTCTCTCTAAGTTTATCATTCCTCAGTTTCGTCAGGATGAACATACAACTGAGTAAGGATGTTCGCCTATGCACGAAAGCATGCATTTGGCAGATACATATTTGACTCTTCTTCTCAGCGTTGCAAGACACCAAGTAAATTTTGTGTTTTGCTAACTCTGTGTGCAGTCCATTCAATTTATATGATCATATTGACCCGTTTTAGGAACTCGTGAATACTTGTAAGTGTCGCGAAAAGTCAACTTCAGAGGCTGCTAACTTAGTTGGACTCTCTCTCCCTAAAACCTACAGTGATCAATAGTTGACATTTGTGGTTTGTGTCTTGTATGTAATCAAATATCGTGAAAATATGTACATTTTGTCTATTCTCTCATGGCTTCAAGTGAGATTTTTGGTAGGTCTTACTGGTTCTATATACGCACATCAGGCTTTCTATCTTTTTAACTGGCCTCGCAGAATCCCCTCTGAATGTTTTTGTTCGGCTGCAACTTCTTTCGCTCTGTGCCGTTTTTTTCAAGCGACTCATTGATATTTTGTTATGTTTATTTTCTTTTATGCTTGTATAAGGGCGCTTAGTAAATAGAGCTGATTATTTTTTATGTTTTAACAGCATTCATTCAATGTTTTTATCCAGTAGCGTTTTATAATTTCTCTCGGGGGCATCCTGATTTTATTTAAACCGGAGCTCTTGTGAAGTGGGAGTTTAAGAAGTTGCGAATGAAAATATGCCCCTTTTCGCATGCCTTGAAATCTCAATTTCTACTGAGCGGCGCTAAACATCTCATTTCGTAACTGAAACTATGCAGAAATTAGTTTTTTTTGCAGAGGAGACTACATTTTACTTTTTTCAAAATTTTACACTAAAAGTTGCGCAACTGTCTGGTCCTGTTTGCTGTTTCAGCAAGCCTCATAATGCTTGTTCACATTTTTCTTACATTTTAAAATGTATTTCGATTCACTTTGTACTTATTTAATTAAGTAAAGTATGCTAAATATGAAAATGTTTATTGCACTCACTTTATATCATAAGAATCACTGGTGGGATTTCTCTGTTTTAGTTTGTAGAACGTATAAAGTTGGTTCTATACATTTACAAAATTCTTTACTGGTGTAGAGCTACTCAAGAAACCCTGAGAGTGTTTATCAGTCCATTTCAGTTAGAGAAAACGTAATTGCGAATACCTTGTTGCAAATAAATGAGATATTTTGGCAATGTCGAGTCTTTTGGGTGTAACCTCTTCTTACCTTTGGGAATTTGAAGCTCTTGAAAGAAAAATAGTGCACTGAATTTCATTTTCGTAATCAGTTTTTTCACAAATTATCTTTAACTAGTTTGAAAGTGATAGGAAGATAGTGATAGCCCCAAGACTGCGTTTTAGTGTAAATCAAGTCTTTTCACATAGGCATTGTTTACTTGAATTAAGCTGCCATTTGTGGCTTATGGGAAATATTTACAAAATTGTTACACATTTCTGTGTGAAATTCGTTTTGCACTGCTCACTTCTGGCTTCAACAATCACACACAAAACATTATTCTTTCTTATACCTTGCTAAAGCAAAAATAGTCGTCGTGTTTTCGTGAGAACATTCTTAGTCGCCTTTAGTTCGTAGCTAACGCGAATCTGCAATCCCACCATCAGATTTGTTTTGTGTTTTTTGACAGAGATCGTTCAGACCTTCTTCTTATTCATTTTCCCGTAGTTATCTACCTATTTCCTCTTCTTTGATTCAACTTATTAAAAAGTCCGATGTCACCATAAAATTCCGTTACATCGGTAAATATCTATTTTGTATGGTATTTGGTAAATGAACATTTTACAAAACTACAAGCTGTGTTGTGGTATTTATGCTAACGTTGGTTTTTTTTTCAAATTCTTCGTTCGTGGAGGCTTATTTAACTGCACCGAACGGCTGTGGAATATAACATGAACAACGAGACCGCAATAAAAATGTTTCCTCTATCCAATATGCCCTTACCTCAAAATGGCACAAAAAAATCATTTGCGCTGTTCCCCATTCACATCTTTTTATTGTTCTATTATCAAAATAGTAAGGGGTTGAAAAAATATTGCAATGCGCTTTTTCTGTCTTGCTGGCTCGTCATAAGCGTCAACACGATTCCACTGTTAGCAGCAAGACAGTGGGCATGTCTGTCTTAGCAGAGGGTAATAAACTCACTGATCCAGATAATGTCAAGTTTATCGAAAGCTTTTTTACAATAGACGCGTTTAAAACCTGATTTGAAAGAGAGAAGTTTGTGATCATTTTTGAAAGCGGGCATAGTTCCTTTCACAAAATCAATGAATATGTCTCAGCTTCAACTCGGGTTTGCTCCAGCTCAGTCCAGTGGACTTCCAATGCGCCTTCTTCGTCTACTACTAGCAATGGTGAATGCTTTTCCAGGGTGGATTTAATCCTGAAAATTTTCGATGGATCATTTTGTCATTGTTGATTACACCAATCTCTTTCAGTGCATTTGTAAAACGCCAAGTAACTACACGAATGAAAGTCACGTTTAAGCTCCATCATTTTCTTTAAATTTGCAAAAATGCATTCAGTTTGCAATTGTTTCAGTTCAATGACAAATAATAATAGCATTTGAATTCTAAATTCACCGAAAGGATTCCGAAACTGAGCATTGGAATCATAATAAAACTGAGTGCTCCATTTCTTATTCTGAGAATTTTCAGTGCAGTTTTTAACTTAGGCTTCAAGCATGCAGAGTTTGTGGCGGTATATCGAGTTTATATTACTTCTGTATCCTGTCTTGCATTTGGGGCACAGCATGCCTCTTTTGCGTATCTATCTGCCAAGACCATCCGAAATAGACGCCCAAAAACATAGCCCTCTTCTCAGTTTTGTACAATGATGGTGGGAATTTTCGGGCCCTGTTCTGGTAGATTTAAACATCGAAAATGAAGTGTCCGAACACTTCAATCTTATTAACAATGGGTGCGGCCGGTCCCTATGTCTAGGTTGCATAACCTCAGAGGTGGTTTACTCACCGACCTCGTGTTCCATAATTAGCTAGGTTATGTCTTATTTCAGGGTTGGTTTCTTAGGCCTCCCCAAGTAATTTTTGATTAAATTTCCTATTTTGATTAAAAATCATCTGGTTTTATAGATCGATATAATGAAAATATTTGACTTGACCATTTACGCTATTTCTTTCCCTCTATAACTCCTACTGAATATTCTTTTTCACAGATTCCCTTAGCGGGCTTTGTCAAGGAAATTAGTCAATCAATGTAATCAATAGATTAGGCGATTTTAAAACCCGCGTTCAGCACTACCATTTTTCTTGCACTTATTCTGCTTTGTCTGAGTGAAAAGCTTTTTACACAATAACTACTTGGGGCCCATACTTGTGTAGGCTGCAATCTCTCTAATCCCCTTTGAAGGTCGACTCCTACAAGACTCTTCTCAAGAACTGAAATTACCAATGATCTCAAAGTAATGCTGGCGGTGCCCTCTTCCGGTTTGGTTCTATGCGTCGAGGTTTAATACTTTTTTTCACTAAGATTCCGGAAAATGTTTTGTTAGTTTGGTATGAAAAAGGGCTAATTTAGGAATTCAAATAGGGGAGATATATAAGACTCTTATATCCATTATTCCCCTAAAAGGCGGTAAGGTAGAAATAGTGTTTGAAAATACTTAGCACATGACTTTTTTCTTATTCCTTGATAAGCTAAACGGAGAGAACAGCTTTTAGAAGGGAAAATTATAGAAATACAAAGTAACAAGCTCAATGATACATGAAAAATAGAATGAGCTCTTATAAACAGTAGTAGTTTCTTGGCAACATTGCGCTAAGCGAAAATGATTCATTGAGGAACAAAGTGAACCAAGACTCAGTTAACACTTGCTTCGTTCTGCATCCCGTTGCATGATTCGACTTTTATTCAAATTGGCCTCACAGTAGAATGCAGACTAATCATTCAGTTGTGTAGAAAATTCCCCAAAATACTTTCAATAATAACTATTAAGCAGTGTAATATGTGAGCCAAAATGGGAGACATTCCTAAAGCCTAGTGAACTTGAAGTCCTGCCCAGCCCTTGTCCTCAATCGGATTTTCAATATCTGTTGAACTGAACTGCCGGCAATAATCGTCTGGCTACAGAAGCTAGGCCTAATTAGAGCCATAAAGTTAGGGCGTGAGGTCATGTGTTAATATGATAACTGATGGGCTGGACCTATGGAATCAGCAGAACTAGTGCTGTGGTTTCCTAACGCCTAGGCAACCAGCAAGTTGATAACTAAATGCCGGCCATAATCGCGTCTGATTCAGCAGTGCTCATCGAGAAATATCTCCCAAATTACAGCACCTGTCCTGCGTTCCAATCAGATTCTACGTGTCAAAGAAGCCATGTGTCATTTTAAGGACGTAATTCACTCTCTATCTGAATTCATAGCAAATTGTAAGAAATTCAGAGATTTTTCCATAGACCCTATTTATTTATCGAAACAAAGTTAAAAACTTTTCCTGCTATAGGCAGTGCCCCGTTCTAATGTCTTTGACTGAATGTAGTTATTTTTGTACCTCGAAGCCATGAAAGGCCTTTCAAGGGTATGTGACGCTTCACAATCTGCTGTCGATGACTTCGGACCGAACTCAAATAATGCTCAATGAGCGATCAAATCACCTCCGCAGTGTTTTCTCCTTGTTTTCCCGATTGTTTATTAATCTTCACAAGTAACAATACTAATTAACCATTAATTGTTTAAGTTAACATGGATTCTGTAAGTGTGCTAATCTCATTTACAAGCGATATAAATTGGGCTAGCAGTCATTCGATCAACTTTAACAGGTCAATAAAATCGGAATATCGTGAGCTTGCACTCATTTGGGAACAAATAAAGAAAAGTGGGGCGTTTAAAATATGCTCACTAATGGTTTAAGCGGCATTTTTGTTTAATTACGTAGTACTTTTCTGTGTACGGAAAACGAAGTGACTATTTGCCAGTGTTAACTTACCTGATTTGGGGAAGTGACTGAATGGACCAGCCAAATCGCTACTTTTCTTGCCAGTATTTAACTCCTCTGCCCAGTTGAATTAAAGTATTTATTTATTTATATTAAATGGCAGGCGTCTTGATGGTTATCATTAGCCCTTTAGTTGACTTCAGGCTTCATAGAGGGGAAGGAACATCAAAGTGAAAAAAGGTCGAGAGGGGGAATATCTTCAACTGTACTGACATTAACTCCACACTTAATTTTGAGGAGGTAGCAGAATAGATCAGCACATGTTTTCATGATCTCAAATGCAATTTGAATAAAGTATAGTAGTTTTTTCGAGAAATGACCATAGTTATGAGGGCAAACAAACAGTTCTGCTGAGCTCAATTTTTGTGGTAGGTAAAGCTAGTGCAAATCTGAATTATTACACATGAAAAGTATTAGTGGAATGCACAAAGCAGTCTCGTGCGCTGGAACATTCTGGAATGTGCACACGTGCTACCTATCGCTTATCGAGCACGTACGGAAATGTATGTAAAGGCCTCCCAGCCAATCAGCGATCAATATTCTTATAGTGCAGCATTAATCTCACCAAATAACTACTAGAAGCAATTCGTCAAACTACTAAATGAATTAGCATGGGTTCATTTGTGAAGTCTCCGTTACATATTTTTCTTAAAATAGCTATATAGAGAACACTTGTTGGTTGTACAAAATGTTATCACAATGTAAAAATTGGCCAATTTCGTTAATTTTAGAGAGGACCGTGTTGTTGGATAAGCCAAGAGTAATATTACTTTCAGTTCTTATTCTGATAATGTGAAAAGAGAATGACAGCTGAATAAAAGTAAAAATGATGTTATATAATCTTTTTAAAAGGATCAAAATAGACATTCAATTTGTGTGAACTCTAAAGAGCTTTACAATGCTACAATCATGTTAGTACTAATCAACGTGTCATTATCTTCGCCACTGAAGAGATTGTACAATAATGCATAACTTTCATAACTTCTAGAAGCTCTGAGTGGAGAAAAGACAAATTCACACGGAAATTACAGAAAAAAACCCTGAATTAATGGAATATGAGGATCAATAATTTTTGAAAGAATTCAAATTTGATTTACTTCCCTTATTTTGTACTGAGCTGTTCTTTTTGTTATTATTATGTTCACTTTTTTTCCTACAATTAAAAGACGAATTAAAACGTTGACTAGCGGTGGGTAATGATATCTTTCATAAAAGCCAGGTCAGTTTAAGCCGAGATCAACTTATCTGCATACCACCCTAACGTCCATTGACGAGAGTGAGTGAATTGACAATGCTCCCATAAGGTGGGCCGTCAATTCACGTATGCGCAAATTCATTGAGAGGTGGGGGATCTAAGCTTCAGAACAGGTCAGCCTTTACGAGTTTTGGGAAGAAGTTTTTTCCGTGCTTGAAATGCTGAATTTCATTATGGAAACAGCGCCCTCTCAGACAGAACTAATCTTTATATGGCTTTATATTAGAACTGAATTTCGTTCTATCATGGTGCATCTGGACGACCGAAACTTTGTTCCAGGTTAATTTCTACTCCGGGTTTGAGAATTCCGGTTAGAGATTCAATACTGCTGAAAGCACATCGTGAGGAATCTTCATTTTCCATTTATTAAAATTTTTCACGTAGAAACTTTGCCACGACGCTCGCTTTTTGGCAAATAATGGTTGCTGTGTGTTGCATTCCTCCTTTATGTGCTAACGTGCGGATAAATTTAGCCCACAAAAAAGGCGGTGAAGTCAGTTAGATGGAAAGTATCAAATGGTAGGTTTTCCATTCCTCTTTCAGAAAGAATAATTTTGACATGATCGAATAAATTGACAAAGTGAAAGTTAAATTATCTTAATTTTATTTGATGGGCGAAAATTCTCAATTGTGCGTCCTTTAAAATCAAATTTTGATATTATCTGAACGCCTGTGACATTAATAAAGTTGCATATAATGTATATGCGATTTGTGAGTGGTATATTTTAAGCACAAAGAAACCTCTTTTTATTAAGCTTGTTAATCATTAACAGGGTTTCAAGGTCGTAATGTATTATTATTAATCACGAAATTGAATTAGTAGGTTGATCTTGTCGCTTCACCGGTTATCATAGGTTTAACGCAGTGCTTTTGAAAATAAGAGATATAATACTATATAATAAAATCTAATAAAACAATATACAAGGATGATACAATTTCGATATTTTTCTTAAGCAAAACTTACTTGACAGCGAAAATTCAGCAGCAGAAGTAGCCCAG